AAGACTTGATACGTAATTTATTCACAAACTTTATCAGACAATGTATTAAAAAACTGATTCATTATTTACGCTAGACAAATTTGGTTAAACTTTTTCATTTATTTTAGTTTCTACGAAGGTTTATGCAAAGGCAATGACTTTATTCCCCAATACTTAGACAAGAAAGTAAATTGCTGTTTTAATTATTAAATATATTATTTGAGATTTTAAACATAACAAAATTTTAATGTGAAAAAAGTTCTTTCTCGACTTATTCAAAACTGATTATACTGAGTCAATGCTCGCCTTTTGTTACGTTGAAATTATTCATTTTGTAATTACGAAAGAAGTTAAAAAAATAATTGCATTGCTTCTCTTGTCATTGTTACGAAAACAGTTCCTTCGGGACATTATTATATATTAACACTCGTTCACAATGTCAATTAATGATTGCAAAATAAGCAACTCAATCATTTGACAATAAAATTTTCTTTCATTTAAAAAAAAAACAACATATTTTACTAATAAATAGCGATCGTTTTCGTGTTTTCTTGCGCATCAAACATTAAAATCAATACATTTAAACATTTAAATGTATTTACGAAACATTTAAAAATTGTTTATAGCTCTAGCGTGAATTTTAAAGTATTACTGACTTATAAAAAACTTACAAATTTTACATTAAAAGGTCCTTTTATTTTCTTTAAACATTAATCTTTTTCCTTTTGATTTGATTTTTCTTATTGATTTGATTTTTCATAGCTTAAATAACTACCACCCTAAAAAAATAAAAATATAAAATAAAGGTAATTTTTTTTTTTTAATAATATACATTAATTTTTTAATTTTAAAGCACAAACAGATTTCTGTTATTTACTTTAAGATTGCTTGCATTTTTGCCGTATTTTCGTTTAGCTTTGTTTTGGCGCGAATTCTTGAAACGCATAATAATAAAACGTGGTCAGTTAGTCAGAAAAATTTATTCTATGCGTGGACAAACAAGGCGTACGACCGCACGCCTTTCCTGGGAAAGCCTGATATATATATCTATATATATATATCTATATATATATATCTATATATATATATATATATATATATATATATATATATATATATATATATATATATATATATATATATATATATATATATATATATATATATATATATATATATATATATTATTCAAAAGAATTTTTTCCAGCAAAAACTAAAGAATTTCAAAAGAAAAGAATAATATAAATTGATATCGGGAGTTATAGCAAAATGACCTGGAACGATTTAAACTTCAAATATTATAAATTCAAGTCAAGTGGTTACTTAGGGTCTGCATCTTGAAATAATTGTAATTTAAAACTAATATAACAACTAAACCCAGTCTTGAAATATTTCAAGACTGTCAAATCTAAATTTTGCACTCTATCTTCATTGTAATCATTTCAGGAAAAAAAAGATTTGACAAGAATTCAAGATTTTTTTAATACTGTATTTACTTCCCCAATGCAAGGGAGCCATTACAATCAAGGAGGCTTCTCTTTTTGTTGTTGTTATAATTCTTTTTCAATCTTTTACCTCCAAAATACAAGCTTTGATGAACAATGCAACTGTGCAGAGAAATAAGTTGAGCTCTGCATTATTAGGGGTGTGGTGGGGATCAAACTTGGAACTTCTTACCTACAAAGCGAGCTCTCTACCACTACAACATTACCACTAAGATTCCCCATTTTGGTCTTGTACTACTTTTCATACTCTAAATAACAAGATTAAACAATAACTATTTCAAGATTGTTAACTTCTGTTGATCAGCTGATAAAAATCTAGTACTTTAGAAATCATCTAGCTGATAAAAATATAGGTTATATTTTTGAAGCAATCCTAGAAATTTTTATAATGCTGCAATTAATTATAAAACTTGAGTCACAACCACAACAGCACTCTTATTGACTTTTATAATATCATTTTAAACAACTCTAATCAAAAAGATACCAAAAAAAAAAAGGAATCCTTAAATGAATGTGTCAGATCATTTTCTTATATTTCTAACTAAATTTAATGTAATAAAGTAATATGAAAACTGTTTTCTACCCATATTTTTTCTCTTATGCGGATATCTTATAAAGATTCAATCAATCTTTTCTTTGAAACCTAGTTTATATTAATACTATGTTATATTTATTTTATGACAGGATTATGACAGTACTAACAACTATATTATATATATGCAATACAAACTGATTATGTAAACTAAAAATAAAATTTTTTAAAAAAATTATTTTTACGAAAATAAGATCAATTATAATACTTTATTATTAGTATTATTAGAAAAAAATGAAAAACAATGTCTTGGTATTTTTTTAATAAGTTATGACTATATAAAGTTAGATTTTCCTTGTCTGTCAATTGATTAAGAAGTTTTTTAAGGTTTTTTAAAATTGATTAAGGTTGTTTTTAACTTATTTTTAAAGTGTGTAACTTTGGGGTTTAATTATCTTAATTATTATCTGCTGCTCTCTTAGAAAAGATGCTTTCTGGTTGTAAAAGCAAAGGGTGTATCTTAAATTAAAATTCTGAAAAAATATTAGTTTGGCTATTTTAATAATATTATTAAATATTATTAAAATAGCCAAAGACATCAACCTTTTTAAAACATAATTTAAAAAAATTTATTTTACAAAATCTGTTCCACATTTTTTCTTTATAAAAGTTGTTGATGCATTTCAAAATAGTTTACAAACTATTTTTTTGGTTTGAAACACCATGATTGCATAAACGGTGATCCACAAAAACATGTGTCAACACAAAGAGTTGCCACATGTCTCTGCACATGCAACACTCAAGTGAAGAGTGGAGATGACTGTATCTCAATTATGCTGTAATATACCTCTAAAACGCACATAAAAAACAACTGTACACAACCTTTCATGTCAATGGGTATTTTAAAACAAAAAGAATTATAAAGGATGAGGTTGAACAAATATTCATAAATGATTTTTTAATTCCATTTTTTACAATTTTCAAGATAGTATTAAACAAGCTTTTTATTACTTACTTTAAAATAATAAAAATACTGCTTAACTGAATGTTTAATAATATTTTGTGTCACATGATTATTTTTTAATATTACTTAAATGCAAAAAAATCTGATTTATTTTTATAGGTTAACAAAAGAAATTTTGTTAACTAAATGTTTTAATATATGTAGTAATTAAATGTCCAGTTGCATTTTTGATTTTGATTTTTTGGAATGCAATACAGGATTGCAATTTTAAATCAGTGTTCTATAGTAATTACTAATAAAACTATTACAATTATTATTAAAACAAATATTTGAGTTAAACAAAGTAAAACAATCGTTCTTGCTTTCAAGAGAAAATAGTTTGAGATAATATAGAAAACAGTTTAAGATAGTAAAAGTTTGAGTTAACTGGTAGTCAACTTACCAGAAATTAACTTTTTATGATTATTAAAAGTCATCTTTAGATAATAAAATTGCTTAAACATGCATACCTATATACCTGACATCAGCCTCAGGAGGTCAATATGTAAAAAAAAGTTATAAACATTGGTGGTTTAAGCTTAAAAAATGACATTATATGAAATGTATTTAGTAACTAGTTTTACACATCGTTATGTGAATTTATCATTAAGCTGTCTGAATTCGCAAAAAATATACATAAAAAAATTAAAAAATCCATGAAAATAATTTAAATAATGATAATTAACTAATAATTATCTGATTAAAAAACAGAAAATTTTTATATAACATGAACATAACATCATTAATAGAGAGAATAATAACAAAATATATGGGCTTTACTTGAAAATCATCATGAAATATTTTTCGACAATATAACTCGGTTATGCCAAGTTATATTGCCCAAAAATATTTCCCTTTAACTCAGCCTGTCTTGGCCCAAAAACCTAAAACTTGATCAGGTCCAACCTTAAAGCCAACTTTTCTTTATTTTACTAAAATTCTTTGTTTTTGCAAAAAACATACATATGTTTATCTTTTAATTGGTTAAAGATTTTAAAATAATATTTAAAAATCTGTAGTTTTTTAGAATTTTGTTTATGAACTACTTTCTTTTATATATTATGTAAAAAAAAGAAATAATTAAAAAAATTCTTTGAAGTGTCTATGTTATAAAATTGTACAGTTAATGCATTTCATCCAGGAAGTGACAAGAAGATTACTGAAATTAATATGTAGGTGTGTGGGTTTTATATAAATCTTATAAAACTTTTTGAATTATATCTTTAATACATTCATGTTAGACTTGTACAATGAGCGCTAACGTAGATATATGTGTGATATTCTATTTTGTGTTAAACCCTGTGGTCCTTGTTTGAAATGGTCACAATGAGATCAGTGTAATTGTTGTTATCATAATGCCTGTACACCTTAGCAGTCTTCTCACATGACATTTTATGTAGCCAATGCATTTGAATAAACAAATGCTATGCCACTGGTTTATACTGTTTAAAACTTAACTTATTTTTGTAAAAAAAAAACTTCAAAGCAATAATTTCAAAAATTCAAACAATAAATATTTTTATTACTTGTGTATAATAAACATATTAGTTTGTTTTTTTAGTAAAGAAAAAATTTTTTTATCGTGGCTAGGTTTTAGATTTTTGGGTCGGGTCAGGTTTGGACAGATCTTCTTTTAGGTAAAAACATATAATTCCAACTTGTAAAACAATAAGTAAAACGATTTCGCATGGATAATAAAAAATAAAATTTAGATATTTAGTAGCATAAAGATATTTATTTATTATTTTCATAAAAACTTTGTAAAAGTTCAACAGTATTGAATTTTTTGGATTTTCAACTATAAAGAGCACTAATAAGAACATAACAATGTCTCAACTTAATAACTTTTGCACTAATGTGAGAAATTAAATAATAATTTTTTCTAGTAGAAATTTATAAAAACTTCATTCAAATTGAAAACGAAATTCAAAATATAAATGTTTACTATTGTAAAAGTTTATTTTTATTTTCAGCAAATTACCTTCGATCCATTTCTTTTAATACATCTAAAAGTTCTTCTTTATCACAAAGTGAAGGAAAAGCACACACATAGTTAGTAGAAGCTTCAATCTGAGATAAAGATAAATTCCCTTCTCTCAGTCGACTATAAAGTACTTGAAGTTGCTTAATAGTTAAACCATTAAGTTCCTCTGTCTGAAAATTGCTGTATATAAGATCAATAACTGTTTCTTTTTCATCGAGTTGAAAAATTTCAATTGCATCGTCCATTTTAAAATTATGTTAAAAAAAAAAGTGTAGTAATAACAACTCAAAGGTATACTGTATGTATATAAATTAAACTTGTAATTTTTATTTAAATTTAAATAAGAAACATGATATCGGCCATCTTGTTGTCAAAATAAATATTTTCACCATTGAGGAGGGCGTTTAAGAAAAAAAAATCTTCCGTAGAGGTTAGGTAGCTACGAGAAATTGAGCGATGAGTGATGAACTGACTTAACTGAGTGATGAATAGACTCAACAATCAGAGTCGTCCCTAGGGGGTGTAAAGCTTCTACAAAATCCTTATTCAAAAAATAGTCGGTGAACTTGTACTTCCCCCTATGTGTTTCCTAGTTTTGCCGGCCCTGACGTTATTCCGTTATAAATTTTAGTTATTCTATTATAAATTTTTAATTCTTAAATTTTAAGAGTTTAAAATTTATAATGGTATAACTAAAATTTATTTACTTTAAGTTAAAGTTATTTTAAAATAAGTTTTCTTTAGTCAACAATGTAGCTCAAATAATGTTAGTTTGGTTGACCAGCTTTCATCTAGAATGGGATATGAGAATAACTTAAATAAGATGCGTAAAGCATCCAAATTCCTAAATACTATCAAGTCTTTATAGTATTTAGGAATTTATTAAAGATATTATTTCGTTATCTTTATTATCATTTTTTATTTTTTTGTTTATTATCATCTTTATTAAAGATGCAAAAAAACAATAGACAAATATTTTATTAGAAAGGTTAAAATAAGGATGCTTTGCAAAAAGTTGCGATGATTGGAGCCTGGGAACAAAAAAGCTCCAAAATATTAACCCCCTTCCCCATCCTGCCACAAACGGATCAAGTTGATGAAATATTTTTTATGAACTTATAGACTTATATTAATTGACTAATTATAAATTTCATAGTAAAATATTTTAGCGTTTAAAAAATATGGCCATATAAAGTTTAAACCCTCCTCAATTTGAGGGTGTTGCAAGTTTTTTATACTCAATTTTTGAACGCTGAGAAACTAAAGCTAATTTAGTAATATTTAATAAAAAGATAATTATGGCACAAAAATGAGCCAACTGATCCACTGAGTAATGTAAAGTTACAATAGTATAATTTTTCATGTATGTTTTAAATGCAGCTTGATTACTTATTACAGCACTTTTCATGCTTTTTTAGTTAAGGATTCATTAATGAACTTGTCAAAATTCAAATGGTTGACAAGTTCATTTTTTAAAACTGCTAAGCTTGTTAACCGTTCCTATGCCATTGTAGAACACAAAAATTTTTAATCTGTTCAACAAATTGAAAGATCTTTTAATGTTAAAAAAATGTAAAAAAAATTAAAAGGGTAATCACAACATTTGGGAAGATAGTTACCAGTTTTATGGGTTTTATTAGATGTTCAAGAGTTGAAAGTCATTGATTTCTAATAAAACTATCATATAGCTACCATATTTGCATACCATCAACTACCATATTGATCACCAGGGCAGTAGGCTTTCTTAAAATATAAGTTTATTTAACCGTTAAAATTATTTCATTTTTTCCATTTTGAATTATTGTATGCCCATTTGTGCTCCCCTTCAAAATATTCTGGCTATGAGCCTGTTGACAACATCATTAGTTTAAATACTTTTCAATTTCAATTCTTTTTTTAATCAAGTCAAAGTCTGTGGTTGGAAACAACAATATGGCTGACACGGGCTCTAGTGGCCCTGAAAATATCAAATGTAGACATGTAATATGAATTGTAAAGTTTCTTAAAACTATAAAAACTGAAATATCTAAATAAGTTTTAAAAAACAAACTAGAAACATAGGAAAAAAAAAATTTTAATTGATAATTTGTTACAAGATGCTATTTGTTACATGATACATTAGATACGTTAAATGAAAATTATAAAATATTTAGCATGTGTGTATGAGTGTCACATACCTTTAATATACCTTCAATTAAGTTAATATAGTATCAATTAAGTACAACTATTATATACAAATTTATACTAATTTATCCAAAAACTATTTATAAGGTTTCTAAATAATAAGCTCAGATACTTAAAAGTTCAATAAAATTTAATCAGTTACAAAATGATGGTAATAATAAAGATAAAATATAATTTATAATATATTTCTTACTTTTAAATAATAATGATAATAATAATAATAATCAAATAAATATTCATTCATAAATATGAAAATATAATATAATACAAAATAGTTCGTTCTATATTCTCAGTATATCTTTTTAAAAAAACATATATATATAAATGAAAATAATTATAAAATAGAAATTTGAATAATTTTATGTCTTACAAAAAAAAAACTTTTCTCACTATAAAAAATAAACTTCTAAATGTTTAACTCACTATAACCACTCTCAAATTGTTGGCGATTGAGTTTAATTTTATGCAAATATTGCCCATGCAATGTAAAGAAGTGCCATGCAAATAACTGAACTAAAGCTACTGTAATTGGTATAAAAACAATAAGTGAAAACAAACCATCTTGAAATGTTAAAAAACTCTCATTGTTGCTGTATGTACTTTCAATGTTGTATGATAGTTTAGAAACAGTTTCAGATGTGGTTCCTTCAGATATAAATATTGATTTTCCTGTTTTAAGATACAACAAATAAGTACCCAAAAGAGGGGCTATAGTTTGTCCTGGCTTTGAAAGTAATGCAGAAGTTCCAAATATAAGCGCAGATACTGGTGATTTCCTTTGAAATTTAACAAAATCTTCATCAACAAGATCTGATATAACTATATTTAATAGCTTGCATGTTCCTTCTGTAAACACACGATTACTGACAATAAAAAAACATAGGAAGTACCAATAACTAGTTCCAAGATAATATGCTAATAATGCTAAAGATAATTTTATTATAAAAAGAGTTTGAATAACTTTGTAAACTCCATATTTTTTGCATAGTTGTAAAAAATAAAGATTGTTGATATGAGGTGCTAAAAATGACAAGCCAAGTAACATAGCCCCACCACTTGGAGTTAGTGCATGTCCTAATAAATATTGAATAAATAATGGGAAAAAGTTGCTGTTGAAGTGACAGTGAAAGACTTGTACCAAATTCATCACTGTAAACACCAAAAAGTTTTTGTGCCTTAGTATTTGACGAATATAAGTTCTTGCAGCAAAAATTGAACTATGTTGGTCTTTTAATTTTGAAGAATTTACAAATATTTGTTTTGAAAAACTTTTATAATGGGATTCCATAGATTTACAACATATTTGAAATCCAACGCAGACAAAAATAGACAATATTACACAGTATATTTGAAAGTTTCCAATATTTTTATCGTTCCATAAAGCAAAAGCAACAAATACAGATAAAGAACCTGCTGCACTGAAAACCGAACAAAAAAAATTTAATGTAACTCTATCATTTGCTTTCACTGTCAAGTCTGCAAGTAAAGCTTGATGATTTAAATCGACCATAGTCAGAAAGCTGTCATATAAACAAAGAGCAAGTGAAAATTGCAACCCAACTGGAAAAATGCTAAACCAAAAAAGTAAAAATGAAAAAGCAAACAAAGGACCATGAAATGCTAGCGCCCTGATTCTCATTAATACTACATCATTATGGACTTTCTTTTTACCAGAAAGTGTGCTGCCATCACTCATCCAACCGAACAAGGGATCGTTGATTGAATTCCAAATGAGAAATATTGTTTCCCCAATATAAAACGATCCACTGTCTATTTTAAAAACATTAGTAAAAGTTGTAACATAGAATAATATGAATACATTGTTTAAAAGTGATATGAACATTGATAAGGCTCCATACGCAATATGAACAGGAAGCAGTAACATTGTTTTTGCGTAACACTTATTTAAAGCTAAGTGAAAAAGTAGTTTTTAAATCTAACGTATTATAATTACCAAGTATTAACTTTATACGGGTATAATTACACTAACATATATTACTTGTTAAATACGCGCAAAAACAAATTTCCCTGGAGATAGTAAACAGTAATCACTGAAATTCAAGTAAAACTCAAATAAAAGCATTTCTTTATTATTTTTTTATAAACTGTTTGTTTTCTCCTTTTTCCTCTTTTTTTTTTTTCTTTTCTTTAGCTATCTAACTAATTTTATATCTAGCGTTATGCTTATTTGAGCATAACGTTTTTTGCGCGCTAACTTCGTTGTTTGTAAACTTTTAAAAAGATTATTTTTAAGTTTTGCGTCTTTAAAAAAGCCACAGCGTTCAACGTGAAGCGGGAGGGGGTCACGTATCACGGGAGGGGGTCACCAAAAAGGTCAAACATCTGATAATATGAATACGCTAATTTAATATTAGTCGAGTTACGTCATTTTCTAGGCTTTTCTATTTTAAAGTAGTTTCTAGGCTTTTCTATACGCGTTTTTTTTTTTAATTTTATTCACTAACAACGCGTATTACGGGTTGCTTACTGCTAGTATACATAAATTGAGCATCTTGTGTCAAATTAAATTGTTTAATATTTGATACCTAATTTTTTTAAATAGATTTAATTTTATTAAGTAAAGGCAAGGTTAATTGAGGGCCTCAGTGGAAAAGGTGCCCAAACCAATTTTAGTATGGTAACATCCATAAATTACGCAACGCTATATTTTTTTATGAAACCGAAGTAACTTAGGCTCTTTTACGCGGCGATTTTCATTATACTTATTAGCAATTTTGATTTTTATATAATCTTAAAGCTCTGCGAGGGAAAACTGATTATTGATCTTTTTTATTTAGTTTTTTAGTGAAATTCAGCTTTGCAACGATCCCTAAACTGGATGATTTTTAAAAGAATAGTATATATTATGAAGACAGGTGAAAAAATACATTGTTATATCTACTAAAAAATAAGGACACCATTTTACTGTGTTTTGCAATTATTGAAAGTTCGGCAACTTTGCCTCATCATGTTTTTGAAATTATTGTTAATAGAGTCGTTTAGGCTAAACGGATGTTGCGTCTATGATTTGTTAAAAATTCCTCTATATGTGCAACGTGCTTTACTTTGTGTCTTCGTCACCAGAATCATCAGTTAGACCATAATCAGTCGCCTCATCTCACCTTTAAGAGCAAGATAATTTGATGGACCGGCGGGACGAAATGTATGAGCTCAAAAAGATCACTTAGCTTTTCTTTTGTGATTTTTCTACTATTTTTTTGGGGGGTACAAGCGCTCATATTCAACAATGATATTGTAAATGACCATCCAGGAAATGGCCATCCAAAATTTCTATTCAATGGTATTGAGAAATGGAAATTTGTGCAAAATATATTGTAAAATAAGAAACATTTTTTTTTACATTTTTGTGCACTGCAACCATTGTTAAACAATATTAAATGGGTCAATTTTTTTGGTGTGTGTCGAAAAAATATGCTCTAGGATGCACGAATCTCTTGAGTACCTTTTCTTTTATAAGCTTTGTTTTTCATTACCTTGCCAATCGTTAATAACGGCTTTTAGTTATTAACGATTCTTAATTTTAGTTATTAAAATTTTTATACTTTTTCTTTCTAAAGTATGTTTTTTGGTTATATCGGTAATGTGGTTTTGATCCCGAAAAATGAGGACACTGCGATTTTTACACCACTCTCAAGGTTGAGGTGACTCGTTACTCTTAGCACATCAGCAGTTCCCTCATTAAAAAACAATGCAGATGAGTTCATTACCAACTCAAATAAAGGATTATGAATAAGAATATTTTTTTGGCATCTGAACCATATAACTTTGTTGAGTCATTAAAATTTTGTGTTTGATTGTCAGTGCATTTTTTAAAACTTTCCTATTACTGAGTTCTTGAAATTCTTTAAATTGTTAAGTTAAAGTCAAAGTGTTAAATTGCTGTTACCTATAGAGTTTACATTTTTTCATTTAAACCAGCTATTAGGACCCACAGGACATAATGCGTCACGATGAGACTGGTCAGGAAAATTAGTAAAACGGTAAAGTACCGCGCAAATGTTTGTTTTTTAATTGGTGCACCTTTTAATTTTCAGTTAAAGAATTATTAATTGCAACCTGTCAATTTACCATACCATAATAGTTTTGTATTCAATTTACTGCGCATTCTCTTGATCTTCTCTTTCCAGTTAACCGATTACCATAACGTCGATCTTTTCTATGGTTACGAAGCCGAATACGTACTCAACAATTTTCTTTCCTTTTGATACTTTATTCCATTGGTAGCAACAAAACTGTCTTTTTATTCTAAAACTTATTCTTGTTTTGCTTCCCATTATTTAGTGTACTCAACTAAAACATAACTGAAACAAAATATAAAAAGTAAAATATAAAAGTATAAAAAGTTTTGCTAATACCACAAGAATTTATTAAATTATGCTAATTGATGAACCATACAACTCCAACAACTTACACACACTTTTATAATATAAACATTAGACAAACCATGTTAGCTTACTAACATAATTCATTATTAATAAAATCTGACATAAAACTTAAATTAGGGTATTGAGAGAGAGAGCAGATATAAACCTAATTTAGTGTTGCTTTTTTTTTATTTTTTTTATTTAAATTTTTATGCTATATTTTTTTATACAATGTTCTTATATCCTAAGATATTGTTGGCTTAGCATAGGAACAGTCACAAATAGTCATTAAGACTAATCCAAAATAGCGTCCGTTATTGACCAATATTTCTGCGTACCGAAGTACTACTCAAGCGCTGAGTTGGCGGTGGCGGGAATTGAACTCGTATCGTTCAATTGTCCGGGTTTTAACTTTTCGTTTGACGCTCCAACCAACCGAGCTATCCAGCCACAAAGGACCGTTGTCCTGTTAAAATTTTTTCCTTAGGCCTAAATAAAGTAGAGTTACTCACAATATACCAAAGTTATGTCAAAATAGATTTCAGAAACAGTTACAGCTATGTTAAATTGATATAAGATAAAAGAAGTCTCATAAAAGCTCATCATGTTATAATTCAGGGAAATAAGGTTCATTTTATATATATATATATATATATATATATATATATATATATATATATATATATATATATATATATATATATATATATATATATATATATATATATATATATATATATATATATATATATATATATATATATATATATATATATATAGTCACGGACAAAATTAAGTAACGTTGTTGATAAAATCCAAACTCGAACAATAAAAACCAAATTATTTATGTTAGAATTTACATAATTGCAAAAATTTTATGTTTTTTTTTTTGATTTGATTCTAAATAAAATGCTTATAAAAAAAAATATTTATACTCATTGCGAAAGTAACTCTATTAAATGAAATTAGCTATCTTACAATATTTCTGTCTAAAATAAATGTGACAAAAGTAAGAAAAATCAAAGTTTTTATTATGAAGTATAAAGTTTTGTCAATAACTATTATTACAAATGCAAGAATATCATGTCTAGTTTTCATTTTAGTACTTAGTTACCCAACCTTTTGCTTTTACGACTGCTTCTAAACATCTTGGCATGCTTTTTACAAGCTTTGACGTGAGTTCAGTACCAATTGAATTCCAAGTTTCACTAAGAACCTCGTAAAAGTACTCTATATTTTTTGTTTTTTTTTTGTTTATACCACTAATAAGGGGTTTTCTTTTCTGAAGACTTTTCTAAACTTCAGGCTTTCGCTTGAATGCAAGCGAAAGCCTGAAGTTTATAAGGAATAGGTTCTATTTTGTTGGATTCTATAACCGTAATTTTGAACAGCCGTGGCGCAGTGGTAGCACACTTTCCTAAGAAACAAAGGATCTGTGGTTCAAACCCCACCTCTGAGCAAGTTTTGCAGCACCGGTTAGGAAGGAGGCGCGAACTTCCAATTAAATGCTCATCCGTCGAATTCAAAAAAAAAAGATTTTCTAGAAAAAAAAGTGTTAGGGGGGGGGGGCACTACCAGTTTAGACGAGAACTTAATCACGTTGTAATTAAGTTCTCGCCTAAATTTTTTTCACATCGCTTTCACATTCTTATTAACTTAATACTCTGACTCAGGGCCGGCGCTAATAGGTGTCACGTGGGGAGGGTGCTATTGTCGGCCTTGCTTTGATCTTTTTTATTTTATTTATTACGCTGAGCTAAAAAACTCCGACATTCTGCTCGAACTCTTTGATTTGTTAAGCTTTCATATTGTGATCAAGCTCTCTCTTTTCTAAATATTCTCTTACTTTCGGATCAATGTCTTATTGTTTTTGTTTAGGCTTTTACATTCTGATCACTCCCACTATAAATGCCACAGTACTAGACGTGTTTGAGATAATAGTCGCTGCATGTTTAAGAAAATTTTTATTAAAAACAGACACTATTTTGAATAAAAATGTTAATTGAGCACATGTTTTGTGCAATGTTGAACGTGTGTTGTAAGCGATGTTGAGCATTAACGACTATAATGAGTATAAAAACAAACCTTTTAACAAAACCATCAACATAAAAACCCAAAAAGCTGTTTTGCAGTCATCAACTTTTATCTATATTCTATATTCTATCATTATCATATACCAAGTGTATGTACCCTCGTAGTATTTTAACTTAACTAATAACTTGTATTGCTAGTATAAAGGTGAGTAACAGGATTCTCGGTAAATTTAAGGCATTTTTAAAATATTATAGCGTCTATATGATATTTTGACAAGCTTTTTACAAGAAATAGTTTTCATAAGGAATTTTTTTCAAAAGTTGTTCAAAAAGTTACTTATTTACATTTTTTTACATTTAAAAGGTTGCTCAAGCGTTACTAATAAATTGCTTAAATAAACTTTTTTTCATTCAACCACATTTTTGATAATCTTTTTCCAAGGTTGTACTTATTTTTTTAGTTATAAACACTTCTTATCCGTGTAATTAGAAAAATAAACAATGTATTTTAAAAAAATTGTATTGAAGCAATTTGTAACGTAAAATTAATTTGGAAAAAAGTTAAAAAAACATTTTTCTTATAGATGAAAGAATACGTCTTTTGTCTACCGGTGTTGACATTTAAAAACAAATCATTTTATTTTTTGTTCAAAAATCATGGGTTATTACTTTAATAATGAAAGGTATAAACTATTTCGTATAGGGGATTAGTAAACATCGATAAAAAGAAAAACAGCAACAAGGTTGCACAAATAAAGGGAGTTGCTTGTGAAAAACAAATCGATTGTTCAGTTTGTGAAAAGATAGCAAGAATATTGTCTAAATGATACCAGGTGAAGTGAAATGCCCAAATTTAAATTGGCCGTGGTGCAAATTGTTAGAGCTCTGACTTAGTCTCAAGAGATTCGTAATTCGATGCCCGACCTAGCCTAATGAGTGACATTGGTAAGGAAAGAGATGTGAACTTCTTGGTTAAATGCTCCTCCGCGGTGTTCTGTGATAAGACAAGTAGGTCTTTTTGGAGCACCTTAATAAACTAAAAAAGGTTAACAAATGAAAAAAATTTAAATTTTAAACCAAATTTTGCAAAACTTGCTTTAAAAAAATTTAAAAAAAGCAACATATAACTGAAAAAGTTTTGCGCTACCTGTAAAGTTTAAAAAGTTAAATTTTATATATATATAACTTTATATTTTATATTATATATACAACTAGTCAAAAAGGGTCAAATTTGCCGAATAAATGAACGAAAAAATTATTGATGGAAGGGGGTGGTGTCACACCCCCATCGCGCCGGCCTTGTATGTATTACTGTTACAATTTTTCAAATGCTAAAGCAAGTTCAGAGATCACGGGAGCTTTTTGTGATGTTTAAAAAAGAAAACTTTCAGACATGAAGCAAACTTCAAACTTAAGTAGTTTGTGATTGGAACCTGGAAACAATAAAAACCTTAAAACCTTTATCCCTATCGCCAAATGTAAGCGTTATAATTTGCAGAGTTTTATACTTTTACTATTCAAAACTAAGCTAATATTCGTCAATAGATTTCAAGTTTCATTTGATTGTATATAAGTGTTCAAAAGATATGGTCATGTAAGGTTTGAAGCTTGCCCATGTTTAAAAGTCATCTTTCTTAAACATTAAAAAAGTTGGCACAATCACTGAGGTTTTAAACAGATTAATTGGAACACGTTTGTTACTTTGTTAATTCAATTTTGTTGCATTTGTTTTTAAATGGGTTTTCATTGTTTTACTAATTTGAATTATTTTTATTGAAATCTTTTACTATAAAAACTAAAACCTATTTTGATAAAAAAAAAAGTTTAATCTTATTTATGAGTATTTCCTAGTTTTTATAATAAAAGTAATTTTCAAACAACGTAAATGCCTATGATCTAGAAGTTGTAGTTCAAAAAGTTAAGATTTAAGCTAAAATTTTTTACTTTCTTTTATTAGATAGTTTTATTCGAAAAACATTGATGCGTTTATATATATTATGAGAAAGATTTTTTTCTTCAATTTTGGCAACAATAAAATAAAGTAAAAACTCGCACCTGTGTTATGGCTATTTAAAACTCTTATTTTGGATATAGTAATCCATGGGGTTAGCAATTCTGTCTCTGTGTTTGTGCATGTATGTGTGTGACAAACACTATTTAGGACCTTGCTGATTCACCCTGATATAAGAAATAACACATTAAATTAATTTAAAACATAGTTTAGCCAATTATTATTCATCCGAATTAATGGAACCCTTAATATGGGTTTTATACATGCCGTTTAGTCTCAACACGCTTCGTCGGGCAACGAATTTAGAAACGAAACGTTGCTTTACGCAAGTTCAAGGCAGTTTTATGACGAAAGTTTGGTAAAATTTTTACCCGAGGGTTTTCATAACATTCATTACATTCCTATGTTGATATAAACACCGTAAATTTTCAGTTGTATCTTGCTTTATAAAGTTTTTTTTTTCTTTTTTCTTTGCTTATGTTAAAAAATTCGACTCAGTAAAAGTTTTATCAAAGGAAGTTATTGACGTTAGCATATAAAAAGCACAGAAGCATTTCAATTTTTAAATAAATTTACTTAAATTTATATGCATCCTTTTTCAAAAAGGATGCACATTTATTTAAATACACAGTTCAATGCGTATAATAATATTATTCAAACTTGTAAGGTTAAAATTATTTTATTTTATAATTATAATTGATTTTTTAAATTTTGTTTTATATGTAAAGTATAAATATTTTTGTATAAATAGTTTTTAATCCATAGAATAACTTGACGAACAAAAACATAAAGAAACAATATTATTAAGTTAATAATATTGTTTCTTTATGTTTTTGTTTGTCAAGTTATTCTATGGATTAATTACTTTTCATATAAAAAATATTTATAATTTTCATATAAGGCAAAATTTTATAATTAGCGATGTTATAAAGAAACAATAATACTTCTAAAACTAATAATACCTGTCATAGTACTACTTCTTATGCTATTGTACTCCACATATGTTTCTCAGTTGTTACAGCTTTCACGTATTATTTAATAATAATAATAATAATAATAATAATAATAATAATAATAATAATAATAATAATAATAATAATAATAATAGCAATAATAATAATAATAATAATAATTAATAATAATAATAATAGCAATAATAATTATTATTATTGCTATTATATATATATATATTAATAAAATTATTATTATTAAATAATAGCAGTAATAATAAAAATAAAAATAAAAATAATAATTTATTATTAATAATATTAAAGTATAAATAAGATGTGTAATTAAGTGTAATTAAAATTAATTACAGTTACAAAACAAAAGTATCTTTATATTATGAGTAAAAAGTTACTACTATTATTATTATTATTAGTTACTGTAAATCAAATCTCTTAATTTGCTATAACCAAGAAAAAAAGTTTTCATGTTCTTTTACTTATTTTTGTGTATCATTTTGTAAATTTATAATCAATTAATGAATTTTCAAAATTATCTATTAGAATGGTAAAAGTAGATACATTTTTGTTGTGATGATAAGCAATATTAATGGCAGGCGAAAATCAACAACGCAGTGAGAATGCTCCAAAGACCCTGCGCTTTTTAGTACGCATATATGGATTAGTTGCTGCTTTCAGTAAGTAATACTAATGATGTTCTTTTAACTCCTTTACTCATAAACTCAAATGAAACTAAAAATTAGAGCTCTGTTCATAAAAAATTTACCGAAAACCAAGGTTTAAATTTCTTTTAATTTTTTTTTTTTAAGAAGTTTTCCAAAATTATTTATTTTGTATTTTTTTAAATTCTTTGTAAAGTAAACAAAAAACACCTTCAAATTTTATTTTCGAGTTGTCACTAATTAAAGACAAGTTTTATACACTTTAAAATTATAATAGTAATAAGATAACTAAATATGTTCTTATGAAATAGTGTATTCCATAGCAAAGTGGGACAAATTTTCCAAGTATATAATATACCATTTTAGATTTTCTTTATACTTTTTCTAGTCTACATCATCTATGTCATCTATATCACATTCATTACCTTGTGAAACCACTGTTATCAAATCAATTTTGAAGATATGATCACTTCAAAATTAGCTATTTTAAGGAATTTTTTTTGTTTGGCTTCCATCTTGGTTTTGGTGTAGTTATTGTTTTACAGATATAACTCAATATATTAAGTAAAAAATTTGCTTTTGTATAGTTTAACATATCAAAAATAATCAACCATAAAAAAATACTAAACAAATCAAAATGTTAAGGTTTATTTTAATTTAAGTTTATTTTTTGTAATTTGAATTATTTTTGATAATTTATTTAAATTTTACAATAAATATTTTCTTACAATCTTTTTTTTATTTTTAAGTTTTATTTAAATATTGTAATTTTTAAATTTTTTAAATTACTTTTATTGGTTGAGAAACTGAATTGAGAACTAAGTTTTGAATAAAATTTTCAGTATTTTCAAAGTTACTTCTATCTGTTTTTAATTTTTAGTATATTAATCAATAGATAGGTCTATATTAATCAATATATAGGTCAAAGCCATAATGGTTAAATGGAATGAGCTTTGGCTGGAAAAACCTAATAAAAATCAAGTCAAAATTAAACATAAATTAGTTTCTGATATTAGATTTTCAAAAATAGATTGTCATTTATATGTGGATTCAAAAAAACTCTATTGAGGGAGAGAAAGTAGTACAGTTAAAGTATTCTATTAATGATAAAATTTCAGCTGCAGAAGTTATGTGGCTGTTTAAAGTAGCTGAAAATGATCTTGCTTTAAGACATTGCAATAATGCATTGTTATTATTTTAAAGAATATTTTCAGATATTACAGTAGGTCAAGGTTAGTATGAGAATACAAAAAGCTACATATATATTTCAAGATGGCCTCGGACCTTTGTTGGAAAAACACCTGTGTTCTAGCATATCAATAAGTCGAAGTGCTTTTACTTTAATGTTTGATGAAACAAATACAGCACAGCAGAAAAAAATAAATGGATCTTCTGTGTTGTTTTTGGTCAAAAGAAGAGAACCAAGTTGTTACAAAATATTTAACACCCCTTTGCAGAGCAACAGTAGATTATGTCAAAAAAATGCTTGCAGATTTATGACATAATAAAAGATTTGATTTACCATGGGATTAACTTTTTAATATTTAAGCTGGAGGTCCTAATATTAACAAGGCCATTCGGAAGTTATTAAATGCTAATCTTCATAGAGATGGTTTTAATGGATTATTACCATTTGTAAGTTGCACTTTAATGCATTTCAAAAAGCAATAATAGTTTTAGGTGAAGATGCTGAGCAGTTTGCATTTGATTTACATGCTTGGTTTAAGATATGGATTTTATTAGTTACTTTTTTGTTAGTATTATTAAAAATGAAATTGCTTTCCACTCATTGTTATCTAATAAAAAGTTGTTAGTCCTTATGCTCAAGTTTGAAATGTTTTTTTTTAATCATTGTTGTAGAATGCGGCCTGCAAAATAGAGGGTTTCAAAATATTAGCTGATTGCATTTTTGTTTTGTAAATACTAAATGGCTTACTTTTTCTGCTACGCTTGAAAAAGTTTTATTAAGATGGGAAGATACTAAGAAATATTTTTTGGAGTATATTCCAAAACAAAAAATATATAAAAAGACTCTGACAAGCAACAAAAATAATTTCTGCTTGATATGCAGGTATTAAAAGATTTTACTTGTAAGGGTGCTCAAATGAGATCAGAAATTTGACATCACAGCTGTTTCAATGCTATGAAGATGACCTTGGAAATCAACTCCTGAAAAAAAAACCTAAGATAATTAACGAAAATGAAGACACATTTTGTCCTCTACTATAACGATGAATTAGTAAAGCATTGGTGGCGAACAATTGAATTTCTCGAGCTTGTTGGTAAAACTGGAATTATTTTAAATCCAAAAAAATTCCAATTTGCTCAAAGAGTAATTGATTTTGCAGGTTTTAGAATATCTGAAAATGGATTTGAACCACTGCCCAAATATATTGACGCAATCAGATCATTTCCAACACCATCCTCAATAACTGACATCAGATCTTGGTTCAGTTTAGTTAACCAAGTATCACATTACACCCAACTTAGAGAAGTCATGGCCCCATTTAAAGCTCTGCTCAGCCCCAAATCAAAATTCTATTGGTCGGATGATCTCAACACTTCATTCAGTGCATCAAAGGAAAAGATCATCAACGCGATAAAAAGTAGGGTCCAAATATTCGACATTACCAAGAAGACCTGCTTGAGAAGCGACAAGCGACTGGTCGAAATCGGGTATAGGGTATTACTTAAGCCAAAAACATTGTGAATGTAAATAGAACTCCCCAGATTGCTGTATAGACGGATGGAAAATCACTCTTGCCGGGTCCAGATTCTTGTCATTTGCCGAAAAACAATACGCCCCAGTTGAAGGGGAAATGCTGGGCGTGGCTTGGAGTCTGAAGCAGACTAAATATTTTACGCAAGGGTGTGATAACCTTTTGGTAGTAACTGACCATAAACCGCTTGTTAAATTATTAGGAGACAGGACCCTAGATAAAATTGCTAACACACAACTTTTTCGACTAAAACAGAGAACCTTGCCATAGAAATTTATCATCCAGCACCAACCAGTAAAAACAAATCTGGTGGCGGATGCTACTTCTCGTTATCCAGCAGAGAGCATGAATGAACTCGTTAGTTTAGCCACCTGCCATCAAAATACAGATTTTGACAACACAGAATCTCTAATAATAGCCTCAATACAAAACGACCTAGATAAAATGATTGCAGTGTCAGAACAGAGACAGAAAAGGACACTGATTTTAAAGCATTAGTGTTAGCAATAAAAAACGGCTTCACAAAAGATAAAAATAATTGCTCACCAAACCTTTTACCATTCTGGGAACACCGCAAAGACTTGATGGTGTCAGATAAAGTTATAATATGCAACGACAGAATTGTAATCCCACCCACTTTACGAAATGATATTTTGGACGTACTGCATTCAGCCCACCAAGGAGTATCAGGAATGATAGCCAGAGTTCAAGCTACTGTTTTCTGGCCGGGTATCACTTACAGCATACAAAGTAAGCATGATGGTTGTCGCAGCTGTAATCAAAAGGCACCTTCTAATGCACAACTACCACCCATCCAACCTCACATCTCTGTGACTCCATTTGAATGCCTATTTGCTGACTATATTGAATTCCGTGGCTGGAACTGGTCATTGGAGATTGATCCTTGGAGACTCTCCGGTCGGACCAAAGCCTACCGAATAAAATCAGGAACATCAAAAATAAGTGCAAAAGGTCTAATCATGTTTTTATGTAAACTATTTACAGCGTTTGGGGTCCCAGAGGAAATATCTACCAACGGTGGTCCTCAATTTACTTCTGATGAAACAAAAAAGTTTCTACAACAATGGGGTATAACTCAACGCATTTCATCAGCCCATCACCCACAATCTAATGGAAGAGCAAAACTTGCAGTTAAATCAACAAAACGCCTCCTGGAAAATAATGTGGGACCAAATGGTGATCTCAATAATAACGCTTTCATGAGGGCAATGCTCACAGTTAGAAACACACCAGACACTACATGTTAGTTGTCCCCTGCTCAAGTATTATTTGGCCATTCCATTTGCGACGCTATGCCCAGGATAAAAACCAGAATCCATGTGCTCGATAATGACCAATTTCTAAAAACATGGAGACACGCATGGTCAGCAAAAGAAGAAGCATTACGAAGAAGATGTGCAAAGACCCTTGAATCACTTCAAGAGCATACATGTTTCCTTGCACCACTACACAATGGAGATTGTTTTCATACAAAATCAAGTAGGGAACCACCCTAAAAAATCGGATCACAGTGGGAGAGTTGTCGAATGTAAAAAAAATGACCAATATGTCATTAAAGTTGAAGGAACAGGTAGACTAACAGTAAGAAATAGAAAATTTTTAAGAAAATTTCTGAACCCACTAAAACCACACAAAATCGAAGTTGTGTTAAGCAAACCATTAAGAACCAGTTTTAATCACGATAAATTTGTCAATTTGCCACAATTCACAGAGTATGTCTCAGAATCTAACAGTCACATCATCTGAACTGAAACCAACACCGTCTGCAGTACTCCAATTGCCCCTGATATCTGCACCAACAGCTTCACCATCACCTCTACCAACAACATCAGTACCCCTGCTGTCACCTATACCAATACTCCCATCAATAAACACACCTCATCTAGTAATGCCACCCCTGTTAAATACGGAGGTTGGAAGAGCTTTAAAGCGTTCAGTAATGGTATGTATCCGAAAAGGTTCTACCAACCTTAATCCAGTAAATCTTTGACGTTAGGCGACTTCAAGAAATGAATCCGAAAACTATGTTTACATTGATTGACACTTAAAAACATGAAGGGGGATGTAGAAGTATGACACTATCCATTTCTTGTCATCTTCTTGTTGTTGTTTATATTTGTTGTTCTATTGTTATTTTATTTCTAGAAATGTTTAGTTTATATTCATTGTTACTTTATTTCTTGAAACTAACATTGTTTAAGATAAATATGATCTGGAACAACAACTGACTTTTGTTTAATGTTGATTCTCTCTCTAAAGATTGTTCAAGCAGTGCAAAATGCTCAAAGAGTATATAAAAAAAGAAAAGCTGAGGAAGAAAAAGAAAAAATAAATGATATTCAAAAGCAAGAACTTATTGACAAAGAAAAAAAGCACAAAGAAATGCTTGAAAAAGTTGATTTTTTATAAAGTTGTTACTTGACAGCATGTCTTTAAAAAAAATATTTAGCTATTAAAAATATTTACGATTTAAAAACAACTTTGTTACTCACATGCACCATCTTCTAAATCAAATATTGTAGCTAGATATAAAATATTATAACTTTTAGGAATGATCTTTGTTATGCCACTGGGTTTAACAGACATAGCTGCAATTAAATTTACAATTATTGTTGGCAGGCGTTAAAATTTTTTTAAATTTTTTTAATTTTTAATTTCAAATTCAAGATTATTTAAACAAGGAAATTTTAAAAGACTAAAATTTTCATTTTCAAACAGATTTCTTTTCAAATTAAATTCCTTTTCAAAATAAATAAAACAACTTGTGATATAGGGCTGTTTTGAGTAACTTAAGTACCTAAGTAATTGTTTGAACAATAAAATTACTCAAGTAAATTTATACAACTTGAGTAATATCAAGTAATTTTTTTTCAAATTAATAAAAGGAAAATTGGTATTTTATTAAAATTTGTATGAAGGTCTAATTTTCAAATGTATATACACCTGCTCTAATCCTATATGGTACAATATTGCTTTAACAGTATTACAAGATAAAAGATAACTTCTATTTTATATCATTTTAAAATAATATCAACTTTGCAGTGGTTTCTCTTTAATCGATTTTGCTTACGTTTGACATTGAAGCTACTTGCGTTTGATTTTTAAACAACCAATGCAATCAAGTTTTAAACGTTTTTTCTATTACGTTGATATAGAAAAAATAAAAAGATTTTTTTTATTTCATAACAATTTTAAAGCAAATGTGTGCAATATATTGTAAGCTCATCATAAGTGGTAAAAGTAAAATAATAATATTTTTTTTAGTTTACATTTTGATGATTTCTCGGCTTTGTTTTACCAAATTTGCCAACTTCAATGGATTTTGAGGAATTTGTTGCCAGCTATTTCAAAATTTCTTATTTTTTTGTTTTCAATTTATTTCTAGTACATTTTCATATATATATATATATATATATATATATATATATATATATATATATATATATATATATATATATATATATATATATATATATATATATATATATATATATATATACACTATATCCCATATATATATATATATATATATATATATATATATATATACACACTATATCCCATCCCAAACCCTCAGTCGATGTAGCAGCACTCTTTCTGCGAGTCAGGCTATTTGTCAGTCAATGTATGTACTGAAGGCCCCAGCAGCAGGCTATTTCAGTATGATGTCAGATTGCTTACCTTAGTACGCAATACTATTTGTATATATATATATATATATATATATATATATATATATATATATATATATATATATATATATATATATATATATATATATATATATATGATTTTTTTCATCTAGTTTTGTTTTACATATATTTTTAGTAATATTTAAAAATAAAAAATGGAAAGTAAATGGGTGAAACCTTAAATAAAGAAAGAAAGTAATGGGCATTTTTCACCATATTTCATCGTCAGGATCAACTTTATGTTCAATTTCAAGCCCTAATCTAAGACAACTTTCAATTATTGTCAGTTTTTCCAAGTTTTTCTTTCTTGTTTTTCTTCCAAAAAAAGTTCAAAAAAAAGATTCTTCTGAACTTGTTTTGGCTCGAATGATTGCTGTTGATCTTATTCCCATTTATAAATTGTCAAAAAGTATTGATATTCAAAAAGGTTGGGCTGCTCAAGGTCTTAAAATTCCAAGTTCAAGACAAGCTTGTTTGCTGCTGCTGGACTTTTTATCACTAAGTTGAGAGCATAATTGAGTGATAAAATGATTGACACATTACAGGCCTTGTTTTAAATAAAAAATGCTTAATGCATTAGCTTAATGTGATATTTGATGTCATAAAATTCTTTTTATTTTTTTATTTTTTAAAGACTAACTTTTTTAAATTACTGCAATATTATTAATTACTGCAAAATAATAAATGATCGGGGTTGATATTTGACCAGGGCCGGTGCCAGGGCCAGATTTGTGACCGGGGCTGCATAAACAATTATACATCCTAAAGTATATTTTTTTAATTTAAAATTCATGTTATATTTTGTATATATGTGCATATATAAACATCATTATGACCAACATGATCACACGATCATTATAATCATTGTTATCATGATCATCATCATTATTACATCATCATCATCATCATCATCATCATCATCATCATCATCATCATCGTCATTGTCATCGTCAGGCTTTAGCTTTCCTCTTTCATGCTGTTTCTCTAATATAAACAATCTAGAGTATTTTCTTTCTTTAACTAAAACTCATTCATACAATATATAAAGCACTCTCTTCAAGTTTTCTTACTTCTACCACTACCATTTTCAAGCTTCTACCTCTCTACTTGCTGATACCTAAATCACTTTATTCTTCTTTAACAAACATTGTCCAATAAGACATTTTTTTCTAATCTGTCTAAGACTATGCCTCCTTTTCTTGTTGTGTTAAAGTCACCGCACATTTATTTGATCATCTTCTATTTTGGCAAAGACACCATATAAATAATAATAAATAAGTTTATATAAATATGAAAGGATATTGTTTGCCAGCATCTAAATAAATAGCAAAAATATATGTTTATAACCATAATATGTATGCATAAAACGCATCTTGGAAGCTCTTATTCCTTCTGCAATAAAAGCTTTGAAGATGCTCCACATTTTTTACCATCTTGAGCAGTTGCTTTATTAAACAGCAATCATTTTTATCATTTTTTATACAAGAACATCTCTCTTGTAAACAAATATTCTGTTATTATTCCAAGAAGCCAATGTAAAATGGTCCTGTCTGATGTTAAGCTCTGTTATTCTAAGTTTACTAAATCTTAAAATTTTGTCGGGGCCAGGTTTGCAAAAAGTCTCATTTTAAGCTGGGTCACTTACTACCGCAAAAAGAGTTAGATGTTATTTAACGTCTTTTTTATTATTACTATAAAAGAATGTTTATTTTCTTCTTTTTTTTAATATTAAATAATTAAGTTTAATGTTGCTTTTTTAAAAATGTTTGGTATTAACAAATTCCTTTCTTTTATGGACATTTGCATAAATGAATTAAAATATGTTAAATTTTTGAGTTTTTAAAATGATTATTTCTTAAATTTTTAATTACAGCTTTGCAACTGCGAATGATTTTTTATTTTAAAAAATTAGCGAGTTACAAGTAAAAAAACTATGTTAATTTATTTTATTTATTTAAAGTTTAATAGTTTATTATTTTATTATTAAAATTACATCGCTGAATATATTGTTTGTTAAAAAATAATCGCTGCGATTTAACTTGCATTATCAAAAAAACAATTTAACTTACATTTTGTGCAAACTTTTGATGCAGACCTTTATTTAAAATTTAGTTTTGAGTTAAAAAAAATTTTTTAGGAAGAAAAACCAAAATAACAATTGATAAAAATAAGCTGATTTTTTTCAAGAACAAATAAAATTTAAAAATTGAACAATATTTAGTAATATAATTATAATTAAATCATATTTTTTATCAGATTAAATTATGTTTTTATGATCTTTGCTTCAAGCTTAAAAAAATCAATCATTACAATAAAACGAAAACAAAATAATAATAAACTTTTAATCTTATTTGAGTTTTTTTCATAAGTAAATTTTACTAATGAAAAAATTTATTATTTAAATTTATTATTTAGATAGCGCTTTTATCAAACACATTTTTCATTCAAACTTTTGTAAAAAATATTTTTAGATAAATGTGGTTCAAAAGTTAATGTGACTTTTTTTAAAATTAATTACTTCTTTTATTTAACTAATATAAGGTTGGTAAAAAACTTTAAAAAAGGAGGGCAATATTATAATAAAAAAAATGTAAAAGAAATTTTTTAAAATCAAGTATAATATTGTGATATAAAATCATTTTTCATTCAATTTCATTCATGAAATTATAAGAAAATAATTTATTCAAAATGCAAAACTTAAATCCAGTTTTAAAATGTGTCAGTTGTAATGCCAAGGCAAATGGTACTTGTTAAAAAAGCTGAGTTTTGCAGGCTATATACATATATATATATATATATATATATATATATATATATATATATATATATATATATATATATATATATATATATATATATATATATATATATATATATATATATATAATAAAATAATTTAAATGAAAAAAATACAACTTTATGATGGAATTAATAGTTTCATGCCATTCGGCAATCATCAGCCATATTATTCATGTAAAAAATAAAAACCGTTATAAAAAATACAAATTTAGCGTTGCAACGGCATCTGACGTCAATTGTACGTGACCCGATATTTGCTAATTGCCGGAATCAAAGTTAGATAGTAAAAATTTTTTCCTATGCCTACAAGCAGAAACCAATTCACTTTTTTTGTTGAGTAGTATTCGGCTATCAAAAAGTCATAATAAAATACTTTTCATTGATGCAAAGGTTACACTTTTTTGTAGATGGGTTAAAAGATTGGCATCTTTTAATTATGTTCCACTTAATTATAGGCATGTTACCCTAAATATATATATATATATATATATATATATATATATATATATATATATATATATTTTCCCCTATAGTTTTAGTTTCGGCTGGACTGTTCGTGCTGTTAACAATTAGTGGAAAATGTGTGATCGCAGGAATCTTACAAATGTAAGTTACAAAAGTATTCTAAATATTAATTTTTTTTTCTTTATAGCTATGTTGTATTTAAGCAAGTTATTCATGTATTCACCTAGATATATTAAAATTTTTGATGTATCAAATTTTTTAATTTTTTGAGGTTTTTGTTTAGGTAATATATTTTTTTAAATCTCTTTAAAGGAATCCCAAAGTGTTGAGACAAGTTGTGTTCTATCTTAAATAAATCTTATATGTTTAGAGTTATATAAACCAAAACAAATTATTTATAGAGATATTTAAAAAAACCTTTTCATTTTTAATGCCATACTTTTTTTTGCAAAGGAAGTTCTGGCTTGTGGATTTTTTCTTTCGAAAGAAATCTGGTCTGATTAAAGCGTTTAATTTCGACATCAATAAATCTAAGTATTGTTGTTTAAGTTTAGGGATTTAGCGCTTGGGAATGTTTTAACATTTAGGATTTCCCTTTTTTAACATGTAAGTATAAAAAATAAATACTTTGTTAGTTTAACCAAGAGAAGTGAATGCAGCTGCAAGTTGTTTAAAACAAGTCTCTCTAATAAAATCTTTTTTCATTTTGTCAAAAAAAGTGTTTCACTTCTCAGATCTCGGTTAGATCTGAGAAGTGAAACACTTCATAAACTGAAATGCAGTGAAAAAGTTTTATTATAATTGCAAATTAAAAAAAGGAAATCCAAGCGTAATTAAATTGTTTAAAAAAACCTCTATTTTACAATAGAGGTTTTTTTTATTCATTAAACAAACCAGATACTTTTACTAAAAAAAAACTAAGCAGAAGTGTAAACCTAATAATAGGCTTGTAAATAGAAATAATAGTCTGGTAGAATTTCGATACAACCTAGAATAAAATACTATAAAGCCTAAACTTTGTAAAAGTAAACATAAATATATGATGTCATCAAAAAAAAGCCCAATTATTTGGAGCACTGGAAGGTGGTCTTTTGGGTCTAATTAAAAAAGAGTAACAATTTTTATGAACAAAATTTATTTCTTTTCAAAAATGTATTTTTCATATATCGTTAAAAAGATAATTTAATGCTGATCATTTTCGTATCAGAACAATAGGTTAAAAACAATTTGTTTAGAAAATATTACTTATATTACTTTGTTTAGAAAATATGTCTATGAAAAAAATTATAAAAAACACAGTAAGTAATAAGATTCTTCAGTATAAATTGTTTTTTATTATCTATTTAGTATGTACTTTTGATAACAAAAAGCATGTTTTCAGATAAAATCTAAAATAAAAGTTATTTAAAAGAGTATGGTTAGCTGAGTAAAAAATTTGAAAAAAAATTATATCAAATAAAAAGTATGTTTCTAATGTCATCAGTGTCGTCAAATTATTTAGAATCGTTCATTCATCCTTCATTTTTAAATTTTTTCTTTCCTACAAAATAATACAATCTAATTAAATATAGTAAATTTTTCAAACATATTTTAAATTTACCATTATGGGATGTTCCATTCATATTAAAAAATGGTAAGAAATTGCGTCAAGTCTAATGTAGTCATATAAAAAATCACCTCTATGTTGCAACAACTTTCCCTTGACAACCACCACAAGTGGAAATGCACTTAAGACCATGTTTTCAACAACTTCAAGTATTCGAACCACATTGGTTTTTTGAAGACATTTTACAATTGCATCTTATAACACTTAGAAAGTTTTGAGGTACTACATTGTTATCAGTTTTTTTTTTAAGTATTTTATTTAGGTGCCCCCAAGAAGTCCTTATGGTCTTATCACAGAGCACCACGGATGAGCATTTGCAAGACTTGCCCAGAGGTGGGGTTTGAAGCATGGATCCTTTGTTTCTGAGGCAAGTGCTGCTACCACTGCGCCAAGGCTGCTCAGTTGTTATTGGGATAAAACCATTGTATTCTTTTTTCCATCCCCAGTCTTCATGATTAAGATTCTAAATCCCATCAAGTAACTTCCATTCAATAATTTGAAGATGAAAGTGTAACCCATGTAAGTATGCCACTTTTTTAGTTACAACCTTTGCAAGTTGTTTCCAAATACTTTTGATTTCTACTATGGAAAGATTAGTTTGTAGTTATTTTTCATACTTTTAACTACCAGAACAGAATTAATTAACAGCTACTTTATAAAAAGCAGTCTAGTACCACCTTGAGATGGACAATAGGATGCTTAATATTATAGTAATAATAAACATTTCATGGTAAATAATGTAGATTATGTAATTTTATAATATATATAGTAATATATATTATAAATGTAAGCATATATATAGTTTATGATATATGTAAATTTATAATATATTTATAATATATAATTATAATATAATATTCCAACCTTAATTTTGTGAGTATTTCAACTTGTGCTCCATTGTAAATAATTTTAAATGCTGCTTTACCAACTGCATCTTTATATGTCATTAATTGTGATATTTCTTGGAGCTCATTAGATTTTCTTAGAAGACTAAAAATGTTGGGTTTTCCTTTTCCGTATGTTGCAGAAGTGGCAACATACTGACTCTGCATGTACAATTAATAAGTGCTTTTTAAACTCGCTGATTGTGTGAGTTAATTATTTGGTGCTCCAGAGATGATTATCCTTTCCTGGCATAATATAGACATTATACATGTTTTCTCTTCAATGATACAAGAGCATAACAGCTATATTAGTGTCATCGGCTGCAACTACAATTTCACTATTTAATGCTAGCTGTAAAACAGTTGAAACAATTTTTATATCAGCATCACCTGGACATATATGTACTTCGTGCCCTGCAGCCATAAGATGCTTTGCTAACAGTTTAATGAACTCTATTTTGTTTTGTTGGGATAAAAAAAAGCGCTCCTGGTCAAACAACAATGTGTTATCATCATGCACATTGGTCAGATGAGAATATTTTGTGGTAGTCAATTCTTAACTAAAATAGTGTTCAACATCGCTATCTCTTAGAGCAATTGAGGCAAATCTTATGAACAGAATGGTTGAGTTAACATGTATAGAGCTGCCTTCCTTCAGTTTTATAACTTATGCAATATTCAGTGGTTTTATTTGGTCTTATGCAATACTCAGTGGTTTTATTTGGTCTTGACGTCTAACTTTAGCTTCGGTGATAACTAAGTTATCTAACTTGTTATGGATCATCAATCCTGTTTCCTCAGCTTTTTTACAATTTATATTATCATTTCCAATGATAGAGACAAGACCTGTTTATGGAGAATGCAAGTTTGAGTCTTGATATATAAGGGAATTTCGTCTCCTTAACAACTCTAAAAATTATTCACAGTGTAAAAAATCCATTGCATGTCTTGCTGACCCTATTTCTTTGTGTTGTTTGCTTGCAAATAAATTGAGCATAATCTTTGTTGTATGTAGGTGAAGAGATCAATTTGATTTTCTCTGCAATAATGAAGTTTTTTGCAATTGTAACATATTCCATATATTGAAGCCAAAGTTCTAGATCTAGTTTGTGATTTCAGAGGTTTGATGAAATTGTCTACTTTACTTCAAACGGTGATAAACTGTTCTGTTTCTACAAACTTTTCAAATTCATCTTCAGTTAAAGTTTCATTGCTTTTTCAAAAATAGATAAAAATAAGGAAAAATTAATCTCCCTGCCATTAACAAGGATATCCAGCAGTATAATCTTAAGGGCACTTTCTGCAAAAATGTGCACTCAAAGCGACCTTGCAATAGCCTTTCCGGACATCATATATATAATACTACTTTCTGTATATATCTCATTAAGCAATTACTCCAAACCAGATCCTCCTGTAAGTTTACCAATGCTTCCAATGTCATTCATTATGGTATGAAATTCACCCAATCTGCATACATTAATGATTGCTGTTGCTTTTATCCATAAGGGTTGTTCAAATGTTATGCAAGGTTATGACATGTTCAACCTTTCAGCCTGATCTATAACAAACGAAGGATGGAGTAAATGCATGTTTAATCAGATGGATTGAGATCAATTATTGGGAGAAATTAATAAAAATTTGGGGACAAATTTTTGTATCAGTTGTATCTAGTTGCATAAAATCTGACCAATTTGGTCGCGGGTATTCTGTGGAACTTAAAAACCAGCCACCTTGCCATAACAAATCAAGATTTAATTCTCTGATAAGCGTAATTGGATATGGCATGTCTCTGTAAGGTTTAAATTTAATCATCTGAAAATGTTACTACAATGTTACTAGATCCTAAATAAGATAACATCTTAATACTGTGATCTTTAACTAAATCGGATGTCTTCTTTTTTTGTTTTAAACATATAAAAAGTTTCAATGTTTAAAGTTGTTACTTTAATAAAAGGCTTCTTTTACTGTCATAATTTTTTTTGTAAAGGAAACAATCTTTTTTTGCAGTCAAAAGAGTTCCCAAGAATAGAAAATGATATCAAAGATCGTAACAGTATAGGTTGGTTTTTGCGTGCAGAGCTCTATGATCTACAAATATCCTTTGATGAACTAGAACTCTACCTATTGGGTTCTGATTTTTTATAGAATTGTATGCAGTTGAATCTTCGATTTCTCTTTTTATGCTGAACTTTATTAGCATTTTTAATCTCTTCAACTTGACAATGACATGTGACTCTTTACTGAGTGTTTTGTCAATAATAAATGGCTTTTTGCATATCGAACACTTTTCTTCAACAGCAATTTGAGCCATCTAATAATAAATCAATATATTTGCATCTACAAAAATGCAGAATACAGACCACATAGCAACAATCATGATTAACTAACCATGTAATAATCTACAACATGCATGATTAACTTACCATGTAATATCAAATGTTTTAATGCCTATTGGTACTGTAAAATTCATTGAATTTTTATATCGTTGCGTTAAAATAATAAGCATATCTTATCAATTTTTCATTTTCAATGCACAGTTCTTATACGAATATAAATCAGCATTAATTTATCTTTCCAACAATATATGAAAAGTATTCTTTTGAAAAAAAAAATTTTGACCATAAAACTTATTACCCTTTTTTAATTAGGGGTTGTCCATAAAGTACGTACACTTCCCCCCACCCCTTAACCGCATTTTGCCATATGCTTTTTTGAGTACCCTCTACCTCCTTATGGATTAACTAATTTTTTTAGTTAATCCAGTGGACTATAAGATCATTACAAATTACAAAAAAATTACAAATTTAGAAATTACAAAAACGCTAAAAAGTTTTTTGTTAATATCCTGGTAAAAAATTTTGGTGAGTTTTTTTTATATATATTGTTTTGGTAAACTTATTTTCTAAGGTTTATTTAGGATATGAAAACAACTTGCATCAACACTTCGCGATTCCTAAACTGCTTACTATTTAGGATGAACACTTTTTAAGGTGAGATTATCTTTAGGATGAAACGGTCATTAAGATAAGATTTACTTTAAGAATAAACATATTTTTGGATGAAATTTAATTTGGAATGAAGCATATGGGATTTTTTACTGACAAATCAGATTTTATTTTTCAATTATTTTATAATCAGATTTTATAAAATAACTGTTACCAAATTCATTTTCAAGAAAATTATTTTGATAAAACTTTCTTTTATACTAAAAGAAAGTTTCATTTAAGAAAAAGCAAAAAACTGACACTATTTTTTTAAATCTATTCGTTGAGCCATAAAACTTCAAGTAGCTTGACTTAATTTTCGAGGCGACTAAAATTATTTTTTCTTACTTTTTTAATAGTAAAAATCTAGCTAATGTATCAAAAAAAATGTGTATCAAGAGATCCAATTAGCAAATTAATACATGTAAAATAAAATTGTTATAAGAATTCTAATTTGTCAAGTTGTTAAAAAAAAAAGTTGTTAAGTATTAAAAAAAAGTTGTCAAGTTGTTAAAAAAAAAAGTTGTTAAGTATTAAAAGTTGAATGAATTTGTTAGAACTTATTGATAAATTTTTCTAATAAAATTTAAACTGAAAAACAATTCAATTAAAATTAATTTAAAATTGTTATAATTAAATGTTTAATTGAGAACTAAAATTGTTTTAATGAACGTATGTTAGAGTTAAACTAAAATTGTTTTAATGAACGTATATTGGAGCTAAACTAAATTAGTTTTAATCAACTTTTATTAAACTAAAATTGACAAGTTAATGTTATATACTGACAAAATTTCAAAAATGTGTAAATAAACCTTATTGAAGAAGAACATTTCTGAATGGATTAGTGATTTTTTTACTCATTCAAAAAACAATTAAAGTTATGGTTTCAACTTTGATTAAAAGAAGAAACTTTCTTTTACAAAACAAATTTAAATGTTTTAAACTGTTGTGGTGAGAAAAATAATCAAAATTTAAACATTTTAATAACTTATATTTTCAAAGTTGGGTGGCCTATTTTACCTTTTAACCCGCAGGTGCATTTGCTTTTGCCTATTCTTGCTTTAGTATTGAGTCATAAGTGAAAGATAATGCAGTCCTAAATACGCTGTAATTGATATACAATCATTATCTGAAGGGTTTCATCAAAAAAATGATTTTTTTATAATTTTTCTTTTAATTTAAATGGGCATAAAATATTAAAAGTTAAACTTGCAGTTGCAGATATACTGGTATTCTGAGATTTCATGTCATTGTGCAGTTTTTTACATTTCAAAATGTAAAGAATTGCACATTGACATTTAAATGAGAATATAAAGAGCTTCCGCTAATGTTTAAATACCATGTATAATATATTATATAGATAGAAGTTGTTTTCTATAATATATTATATCCAATACAAAACTTAAGCGTGTAGTAAGTGTATTTACTATTATTTTAATTTTAATTTCGATTTAAATATTATTCTGTTCAATTCTGTTTAACTTTTACCTAATAATTTTACAGTGCTTCAAGACGCCTTCAGTACTTCAAGGCGCCTTTTAAATAAAAAAGATAATAACAATAAACTCAACAAATAAAAAACTATATAATTAAAAAATTTGTGTACAAATAAATAAATTACATTACATTTTATAACCAGTATGCATTGTCTAAGTTCACCAAGACTAAGGATATATTGCACCTGGTTTTTTAACTTTTTTTTACCTATTTTTTTAGATCAATAGGTGTTTTAGTTTTGGCATTAGAAGTACCACTATGTTGTTCTTATATTGAATGCCTGGTTCAAGTGAGCAATTGGGTAGAAAGTCACTTCAGATTTTGGATGAGAGGTCTTTTGTACTTAGCGTAGGTTTTTAAGTTTGTTTATATTTTTGAATAATTGAATTGATTGATTTGTATTTCAATTATTTGATTAGCAATATACAAATTTAATTATTTAATTAGTTCCAAATTAAATATAGTTATTATTTAATCAATAATAAGAACTAAATATTTTTTTAATTATTTTCATATCAAAAAATTTATTGAGTTGTTATTTCATTGGTTGTGCAATTATTTTGTTGAGAAACAAGAAGGGATGTAAAATTAACAAAAATGAATTTTGTTTAATAATTAACAAGATGTGGTTTAAAATCAATAAGAATGGAATTAAAATATAAAAAAGTAAAATAGTACTCAAATTTCATATTTTTTAATATAAATTACTTATATTTTATAGTTTCAATTTATTAAAATTACAAAAGATTTTTTTTTGATTTTCTTTTTCAGTGGAGCACTTCCATCTATATTCTTATGTTTGGAATTATCCACAATTATTGGTTCTGGAAGTTTGCTGCTTCTTGCATCACTTTATGGTTTACTTTTCATTGGTAAAAAGTAAGTTTTTGAAAGATTATATATTATATATAATTTTTATAGAGTATTATACATTAATAAGAAAGTATATTATATAGTATATAAATGGTAGGGTGGGGTATTTTAAGCCTATTTTTAGCTATTTTTGATATTGAGGGAAAAATGTATTTAAAGAAAATCATTAGACATCTTTAGTAAATTATATTAAAAAAAAAATTGTATAAAATCTTTAAAATTGCCTAAGGAATATCGATTCATGCATGCATTCAATTGACGCACATTACCCTTTTTAGTGGGGTAATGTGGGTTATTTCAAATATTCACATATGAACTTTTTATTCCTGGTTTTTGATGTTCAATAGCTTTGAAAATTTTGAGAATCTTATTGGCTACTTAAAAGTTTTGAGAATCTTATTGGCTACTTGAAAAAAAGTATTTAAAAAGTAAATACTTGAAAAAAAGTAAGAGTTCAAGTACTATCAGTTTTAAATCTGTTGTTCTTATATAAAATGGGGAGCAAATAATAATAGGTTGCAAAGGTTTAAATCCCCTTAATTTTTTTCACATTATAGTTTATGTCATTTTTGGAGCGTCTGTAGACTAAGAAGTGACTTTAAAATGATTTGAGATTTCCATCTTTATTCCAAAATATACTAGTGTTATTCCAAATTATTTTATACTAGTTTCTATCCATATTTGGATTCCGCTTCCAATAATTTATACTAGTTTCTATCCATATTGGATTCCGCTTCCAATAAATTTGATTTTGAAATTTAAAATATTTTTTTATTGAATGCGAATAACTTGATATGATCAAGTTTGATAAAATGTAAAAATATTTCCGTACGGTCCGGAAATTAGTTAAAGTTTTTTTAACACATTTTACGATGCTACCATTCTTTAAGTTCAATAATTAACCTTCATTATAACTTGGTTCATTCAGAATTTATTGAACTTGGATCTGAATTAGTTTTGTCACTTAGAGCAGAGTTGCCGTTGTGTTGCTTCTCGCTCATTAGGATGCAAAATCCTATCGGCTTAATAGGAATTTCAAGACTTAAGACATGGACTTGTTGTATGCTGAATAGTCGTGACCCCTGTAACTAAAGAAACGATAGAAATTTGTTTAGATCAAAGTTTAGCTCATTAAGTAAAATTCATTAAGTGAAAGAATCGAATTCGATGTATTTTAGAATGAGAGTTGGTACACGCATTACTTAATACCAAAGTCGTAATAATTTTTCTCGTTGGTGTAAAGTTTCTAGTTTTGTTTCGTCAATATTTTTGCATTTTTGCAGTTCGCATATAACTTACTACTCTAGATCGTAAATGGTTTAAACCTATAATTGTTACTATGCGTGATTCTATTTTTTATTTATTTTTTTTTTTTTTTTTTTTGAAGAATTCGCGTGTTGCTATGCGCGATTCCTTTATCTTAAAAGCACGTGTGGTTCGTTTGTTTTAAAATTTTACTTTTTTTGATAAAAAAATGGTTGTAAACTGGTAATTTATTTGCGTTCTTCATTCTAGGGGAGCTGATAAAGACAAACCGTTTACAAAAAAAGACAGGTCCAACGATATCGAAGTTAAATCATTACTTAAACCAAAAGATAAAGAGAGTGTAGACTTAAACACTTATTAATGCTTATTAACTTTTTAAATCGGCAATGTGTTGCATATTTATTGCATTGCTTTTGTATTTAAATACGTTCAGGTATTTATATTTTTGTAGTAGAAATATTTATGAAATAAAAATGTAATTTATTTTCTAATATTTTTATTTGTGCTTTGGATTTCACAAGTCATTATTAGCATAAGCATTACTTGTTTGTACACTGCTTTGGATTTCACAAGACACTATTAGCATAAAATGTTACTTGTTTGTTCACTGCTTTGAATTTCACTAAAAACTTTTAGCATGTAAGATTACTTGTTTCATACATTTTAATCAAACCAGTTATTTTTTAAGGAAAAAAACGAACTAATTCAAATCTGTTAAAGAAAATTTTTTTATTAATGTTTTAAGAATGTTTTAAATTTATTGTAGAAGTCTTAAGAAAAATTCCACAAGAACTTTATTTGTAACCTTTGAAACTATGGTTAATTTGCTGACTAAACCTTTGAAACTATGGTTAATTTGCTGACTAAACCTTTGAAACTATGGTTAATTTGCTGACTAAACCTTTGAAACTATGGTTAATTTGCTGACTAAATTTGCAAACCATGTAGATCATTTCCAGTATGGAAAAGATAAAGTTTAAACTAAGTAGCTTTTAAAGTATTTTACGTATCAATTTTACGAGTAACTTTTCAAATAAAACCTATAAAAAAACAGTTGAAAAAAGATGCTTAAAGCGAACAATAGCGCATTGTACGCTCTTAAAAGCTTTTTTGCTCACTTTCGTACTTCCGAACCTGCATTTTTAAAATTCCTACTCTAACTAATGACTCAAATAAGAAATAAGTTATAACCTAATTAAAAATGCCCGTAGAATAACGCCTGAATGTTATAAGTTTTTTTGGGGTCCATAAATTACGTCACGCTATAAGGAGGAGGGGGGGGGATTGGTAGTTTTGTGACGACTCAAACAAAGCTTGCTTATTAAGTGTTACGATTTTGTGACGAGGGGGAGGGGGGAGGTCAAAATCTTAAAAAAATGCGTGACGTAATTTATGGACGATCCCTTTACATATACTTGGTGCATTTAACTTTTTTACACTTAACATCCATCTTGTTTTAAAGTGTTTAGGTATAAAACAAAACATGGACTCACCCCAAAAATCTTTGAAATCTATTTTAAAGAAAAAAACGATAACTGTACAACAACAAAATTTTTCAGTAAACCATTTAAAACTGAGTTGCAAATTGAATTCAGAATTGCGGACTATTTTTGAGGGAAATTTTTTTCGGAAATTGTTTTTGTAGGGAAAAATAAAACTTCTTAAAACTGAATCAAAACGTACGCAAACTCTGGTTTATTTTGTTACAAATGTTTCTTTAAAAATAGATAAAATCAATTAATAATTAATTCAGATTAAATCAATGAAAACCAAAAATATATATATATATATATATTGAAATTATTTTAATTTACAAAAAATGACAAAAATAAACATTATCACCAATTAAATTTTCTCTTCTAACTTAAATAAAAAACTTTACAAAATTTTAAAAATAACTAATTCAAATTATAAAAAATATGTAAAAAAACAAACAAAAACTATTTAAAAATTTATTAATTATAAATAAACTAAAAAATTTTAATAAAGTGCTAATTAATTTTTTCAAGCGTTTACTATTTTTTTATAAAATAATATCTAAGCAGCCCATAAAAACAAAATTACTCATATCGCGTTTTGAAAATAAACTCTTTACATCATCTTAAATTCATTAAGGATACTATTTATTGAATGATATAATCCAGTATCATTTTTTTAAACAACTATTTAATTCTCAGTATACTGTATATTTTTGTATCAAAAATATCAAAAAAAAGTTTTTATTTGAAATTGTTTAAATAAATTTTTTTGTCTTCCTTTTCATTTGAGTTCAAACATTTTGTTTACACTTTATTCTCGCTTGTTCAGCCAAATAAGTTTAAAGACACTTCTCTGGCTGAGTGGTGGCGACATATTTTTTATCACGAATATAAACAACATGATATATTTACTTTTAATTTTGTTTAGATAACGGTAAAGTTACAGTTAAGCGGTCTAAAATGATTTTAGTTTTTCACTTGTTGCGCTCTCGTGTGGAGACTTGCTCAAAGTGGAGACTTTTTAATATAAATATAAGGAATATATATTGTACATTCTTCAGTACATTCACCGACTACCTTATAGTCTGCTGCTACATTAGAATGCTGCTACATCGACTATTATTTCAATTAATATTTCTAATGTTTAAAATGCTTCCACTGCAGTGGAAACATTTTAAACATTAGAAATATTAATTTCGCTTGTTGTGTTCCCGTCAGTGCACTGATGGTCACTGCACTGTAACTTTACTTAGATAATATAATAAATTGAAACAAAATTCTGAAAATGGAAAATCAGTGGATTGTACCAACTAAATACTGTTCTAAAGTTTGGAAACATGTTTTAATTCATTCAAATGGTTCAATTGACAAGTGCAAATATTTCTCTTCAACATTTCAACCAGCAGCCACAAGCTCAATGATTTATCATCTTCAAAAAGTTAAAATTATAAAAATTAAAAAACCTTTAAAATTAAACAAAAATCAGCTGCAAGAAACAGTAGTCAGATCTCAATTAGCCGAAGGATGTTGTGGGAAGAGGTCAAAAAGTTGCGACTTGAAGGTAAGTATGCAGTTATAAAGTATGATAAAATTGTTTCTAGAGAATTTCGAAAGTAAATGCGCTCATTCTTAATAAGAACTCCTTTTTAATTTATTTGTGATAATTAATCATGGCTTTAATAAGTGACTTTGAAACTCTTGTCTTCAATTTTTTTGAAACAAAATTTTTTTCACTACACGAAAACTCCGACCCAGATATTAATTATTTCCATGATACAAAAATAGAATGTTCTTACTACTATCCAAATGAATTAAAAGGAATTCTATTTAAGAATGTTAACAATGATCAAATTAGAATTCTGCATGTAAATATCAGAAGCATTAATTGTAATTTTGAAAAATTCCAAAATTTACTCGAGGAAACTAAGTACTTTTTTAATATTATTTGCTTAACTGAAACTTGGGCAACCTCAAACGACATAAAAAAAAATTTTAATTTTTATCTTTCTCATTTTGAAATGATCTCTCTCGAAAGACAAATAAATAAGCGCGGTGGTGGAGTTCTAATTTACATTCATAAAGATATAAAGCATTGTTGTAGAAATGATCTTAGTGTTCTGACGGCGATGGAGAAATATTAACAATTGAGATTATTAATGAACGAACAAAAAATATTTTAGTTAGCTGTTGTTATCGACCGCCAGATGGCGTGAGCGAGAACTTGAGCATGTTTTTACAGCAAAATGTTATTGCAAAAGGTAACAACGAAAAGAAAAAAAACTTTCTTGTTGGTGATTTTAATATGAATTGTTTTGTCTACAATGACGATAACAAAGTTAAAAATTTTTATGATACAATTTTTGAATCTGGAGCAATCCCTTTAATAAATCGCCCAACAAGAATAACAAAAAATTCAGCAACTTTGCTGGATAATATCATTACCACAGACTTGTTCAACAATGATATAAAATTAGGTATCTTAAAAACGGATATTTCGGACCACTTTCCTATTTTTCTAACTATAAACACCGACCAACTGCCTAAACAAAAATTAAATAAAATTGTAAAAAAACGTTTTTATACATCATCAAACATTGAGGCATTTAAAAATCAGCTCTCATTATTACATTGGAAACACTTAAATTTTAATGAAAATGCAAACAACCTTTATGAAAAATTCTATGAAACTTTTATCTCTGTTTACGAGTCTAATTTTCCAATTGTTACAATTACATTAAAAACAAAACACTTTGATAATCCCTGGATTACCAAGGGGTTCAAAAAATCATCCAAAACTAAACAAAGGCTATACATAAAATATCTAAAAACAAAAACACCAGATAGCGAAAAAATTTACAAAGATTACAAAAATCTATTCGAAAAAATCCGAAAAAAATTAAAAAAAAATTACTATTCAAAATTAATTAATAAAGCTAAAAATGACTCAAAACGCACTTGGCAAATATTAAAAAAAATTACAGGAAAACAAAAAACATGCTCAAGCTCTTTGCCACAAATGCTTAAAGTTGATAACAATAGCTTGCATGAGCCACAAATAATAGCTCATGAATTCAATAAATATTTTACTGAAATTGGATCAATCTTATCAAGTAAAATACAAAAAACTCAGACCTCATTTTATGATTTTTTGTTACCTTTTGATAAAAATATTTCCTCTGAAGAATTATCTGCTGAACTATCATTTGATGAGTTTGAGAAAGCTTTTAAATCTTTAAAAAAGAATAAAGCACCTGGTGCAGATGAAATAAACGGGAATATTGTTATAGATTGCTATGAACAATTAAAAAATATTCTTTTCAAAATTTTCAGAGCATCTATTCATCAAGGTATTTTTCCTGAACGTTTAAAACTTGCCAGAGTTACCCCTCTCCATAAAGAAGGCGACAGATCCAATATCAATAATTATCGCCCTATCTCTGTTCTTTCTATATTTTCTAAAATTTTAGAAAGAATTATTTTCAATAGAGTATACAATTATTTTAATTACAACAATTTATTATATAACAATCAGTATGGTTTCAGAAAAGGGAGCTCAACTGAACATGCCATCATTCAATTTATACATAACATCTCTAAATCTTTTGAAAAATCTCAATACACACTAGGTGTCTTTATTGACCTATCAAAAGCTTTTGATACGGTCGATCACCACATCTTAATCCAAAAAATTAAATATTATGGTTTAAACAAAAAAATTTTAAAATGGTTTGAAAGCTATTTAACAAATCGAAAGCAACTTGTGTATAGTAATGATGGTTATCAAAGTGAACCCCTGAGCATAACTTGTGGTGTTCCACAAGGTTCCACATGCAATCCGTGTAGTTAATTATGCGGATCGCTTTTCACATTCGAAATATTTTTTTGATTATATGAATGTACTAGATGTTTATAAACTTAACATATTTAATGTTTTATGTTTTACTTTTATGTGGAAAAACGATTTATCTTTATTTGTTTTCAATGACCTTTTTTCTTTAAAACCAA